TTTTATAAGAGAAGTCACTGACTTTTTGCGACAGGTGGGATTCAGCTTACGGCACTTCAAGTTCTCATTCATTCCTATGGGATCCGTAAACGGCGATTGAGTGTCGCACAACTCTGACTGAAATTCAATGACGTCAAGGCTGTAATGTGATTGGTTATTAAGGCACACGTGATCCAAGTTGACCGTTACTGCTACTCCCAGAACAGACATTTGGAAAAATAAGAAACATTTATTCGTCTTATTAGAAGTCATTTTACCATCAGAGTGATTCTGAAACTGATATTTCAAGGTAAAAAACTTACATACATTTACTTTTTAAAGTTCACACAAAATGAAAATGTGTCTTTTGCTGCTTATCCTGTAGCTCTGAGCTCATCTTTAACTTTAAGCACATATATAAATGTACAGTCTTTCCGAAAACAGACTAATTATTAAAATAAATGTAAATATAGCGTGAGAATGTCATTCCACGAACTGTTTGTGAAAGAAGTGGCTTGAGTTTGTTCATTTTGAAGTGTGGTTTGGTCAGGTTACGATATGAACCAAGCAGATTTAAATAAAATGCCTGGCCACAACTTCCGGTTTCAAGAAAGCTGCACTTGTCAAAACCATTATCGGGGTGTTTGAGGTGTAAAATCTTATATCTAGATGGCAGCAGAGAAAGACCGAGTTTAGCCATTCAGATCATATGAGCTGTTTATGATATTTAATAAACTTCAAAATCTGGCAGGATGGATTTCAGTCAAATGTGATTCTTGATGATTAATGTGTTAATATCAAGATCATTTATGATGACCGCAGGATGAATCTACACAGACAGAAGTGAATCAGAAAATAGTAAATACCTGCATGTGTTTAAGATCATTAATGTGTGCGCGCCCTCATCTCTGTGGTAACGTTAAGTGGTTTAAACCTAAACCCTCATTCATGAATGTTTCCCGTTTTGCGCTTCTCCTCTAATTCTTTTAGGAAACGGGTTGCCAAAGTTGTAATTTGTGTGTTTCACTTCCTCTTGGGTGCTTTTAGCCTTTGAATAGCTCACATTTGCAGTGTGTTTGTGATGACTGTTGGCATGATTACAGGGTTGCCTGTATTCTGAGACAAAATGTTCTGCAATTTTACCTGCCATTAATTTGTTTTTAAAGTAGCCAAAAGTTGACATCAGTCAGAGATGACCACGAGGCACCACTTCACTTCCTGTTGTCTATTTAATTAAAATGATGACATCACAATGCATATTAAAATAGAAATACAGACATGTGTAGCATACTTCCTCACAGTTAATTTAATGTAGGAACTAAATATAATGTAGACACTTTAATGTAAAATTTTCTGTAAAGCTGCTTCGCAACGATTTGCATCGTGAAAAGTGCTATACAAATAAACTTCAACTGAATTGAATCAATTTAATTTAAAACGATAATAAAATTTAATAAGCTTTCACAGTTGTTTGTCAAAGCTGTCAGATGTTTATGAAAACATTTATAGAATCAAGTAATATCAGTCTTCATCTTGAAATGTATTATTATTATTATTATTATTATTAGAGATTGTAGGCTATTGCTTTTTCAGAGACATTGGATGAAGCTGATGTACATGTCTTAAAACACAACTGATAATTAAAAATTGTATTTAAAAAAAAAAGTAAAAATAGTAATAAAAAATATATTTTGAATAGGAAATTAAAGACATTGGTGTATAATAAAATACATAAAAATAAATTATACAGCTCCTTCTGGGGTATCTCTTCAGAAGGAGCTCCTTTTTTCTTTTTTTTTTAAAGGGGTCATATGATGCGATTTCAAGTTTTCCTTTCTCTTTGGAGTGTTACAAGGTGATTGTGCATAGATAAGATCCCTGCTGTCTAAAAGTGTAGATTTTTCTAGATTCTCAAAGATTCAAAGGTTTTGGTTCAGTCTTGTTTTTCAGCATCATCTGCGCTGACCAGCGCTTCCTTCGGTCTGTAGCGATGGCTCGTGTTTTCATAAATCACGTCTTCTGATGCCGGTGAGGACGTGTCCGTGATCTTTGCTGTCATGTCTGTTTTTTTGGGCTCTGTCTCAGATGTTGAGGTGTTGTTCTCTGCGTCTGCGGCTCCTGCAGGACGCTGTCGGACCGCAGCGTATTCACTGGTCAGCGAGGCGATGCCCCTGATCTCTCCTGACGGCGGGTCAGCGTTTGTGAAGTCGATGGAGGAATAATGAAGAGATTCAGGTGCACTCGGTGCCGCGGATGACAGCATGCCTTTATTGGCGTAAACAATCTCACTGTCATTATCCAGAGAAACGGCCTGATGGAGAAGAAACGGCAAAATGAGTGAAAAAGATCTGCTGCACGACTGTCTGTAATGTCTTTGAGGATGAATAACTCACCGTCAGAATGAGTCCAGATCTGTCGTCTTGTCTGGTCTGTGAAGGTTTTTCTTTCCCTCTTCTGAAAAACATGTTTTCAGATCTTTGAAAAATTGATGCTTATATAAAATCTCAATCAGAATCACAAATCCTCCTTGTGATGAAGCTAAAAGCAGGTAAAGTCTCATCAGAACAATGTGTGATCCAGGATTATTATAGTTAACTAAAACTAAAACCATTTTAAAAAAAGTGTTTTGAAGTCTAAAGTCTATATTTGATTTCAGCTAGTTTCTGAAGCAACAATTTCACTTAGTTTAAACTGACGAACTGAAATAAAAAACTGACATAAAAATAAATAATAAAAAAGAAACTATATAGACACATAAACACAAATATATAACCAAAAATGACAAAAACACAAAATTACTAAAACATGATTTAATATGATAATATAAAAAAATATAAACTGATTAAAAATATTAATAAAAAAAGCGTCATAGTGATACTAAAATAACACATTAAATATTACGTTTAAAGTTAAAATATTTTAACTGTACTAAATAGCAATAAAAAAGCTAAACATACACAATTACTAAAACAAGATTTTATTTTAATACTATTTTACTTTAGTTTTAGTAATTTTGTTGTGTTTTTGTAATCTTTATTAGTTTAAATTAGATTTTTTTAAATTAATTTTAGTTTAATTAGTTATTTCAGTACTTATAATTATTTGTATTTTATTTCAGTTAACATTTATTTGCTTTAAAAAGTATTTTTTAGTATAATGACCCTGTGTTATGCTTTATACTTTATAAAACATTTACCATAATAGCTGAAAAAATCTCTAATGTGTGTGTGTATGTGTATATATATATATTCTCATCATACATTACACCAATTTTGTGATTATCATGTTTTCTTCTTTGTTCCCACCGTTCATAGCAGAGCATCACGATGCACACGATCATCATCACTGACGCACCGACAGCAGCTCCGAGCAGCACCGACGGATGATGGAAACCTGGAAAACAGTGTTTTGTTGCTCAGAGGTTGGTCTTTCATAGTTCAGGAGATCTCACTGAAACTCATTTAACAATCTCAGATGTGAAATTGACATTATTACATACTAAACTTTTTAAAAGTGTACTCTAAAGTGGTTAGAGCCTAATGGTTAGAGAGACGGACTCGTAACCCAAAGGTTGCGGGTTCGAATTATCTGCAAGTAGTTTTTTCAGTACAATTAAGCTACTTCTTTTTCACATGGATAAAGATATAATTTGTGATCTTTCTTGCTGATCAGATAAAGCTGTTGTTGTGTTTCTCACGTGTGTCTTGTGGCGGTGGGATGGCCTGAAACTGTTGGCTGCCGCTGCCGTGTTTGTTTGTGCTGAAACACTGCAGGACGTCCGTGTCTGTGAGGGACTGATGGATGTTCAGGATGCTCTTCACTCCTGTGCTTCCTAACGTCTCCTCACTGATGGAGGTTTCTGTAGAGTTAGCGAGCACATGTCCGGACAGACGCCACTCTAGTGTAGGGCAGGGATTCCCATGAGCCTCACAGACACACGCCATTACACTGCTTCGGCTGCAAGAGCTGGAGATTTTGGGTGCAACTGAAAGAGAAAATATAATTGTTGTGATACAGAAGATCTTGATGGTCTCTACAGTGTAAAACATGTTCAGAATTTGAATGATAAAACACTAAAAATACCATGGTAAAAAAAACATGTTAACAGCAAGTTCCCTAAGAAATCTAACAGGATATTTAATGTATTTAAATTTGTATTTACACATCTGTAATGATAAAGCTGCTATTTAGTACATTTAAAATATAATAATTTTAAATGTAATATTGAATTGGTATTTAGTATTCATTTAGTATCACTGAGACACTGTCATAGTTTTTATTAATATTTTGAATCAGTTTTTTATATATATTTTTCATTTTCTTTTTAAAGTTTTATTAATTTTGTTGTGTTTTTGTCATTTTTAGACATTTTTGTTAATACGTCTGTATAGATTTTATTAATTTTTAATGATCTCTACAGTGTAAAAAAAAAAACACGTTCTTAATTTTAATGGTAAAACACTAGAAATGCCGCGGTAAAACCATGTTAATTGGTTAAAAGCAAGTTCCCTTCCTGTGAAACATAATAAATCTAGTGTTAAATCTAAAGTGAAAAAGAGCAAGTCATCTTATTTAAATTTATTTTATTTAATTTATAATTCAGTCTTTTATGGTGGTTGTCAGTATATTATAAGAAAACAACAAAACATATTTTAGCATTTCAGTAAGTTGGTATATTAACATTATTTTATTCTGTAAATTTAAGTTCAGTTCACTGTAGATGAATACAAATGTGTTCATGACAAAAATAGAAGAAAAAAACATAACCTAGAGCTAATAGTTTCCTAAAGTAGAAAAGAGGAACAAACCACAATTATTAAGTTAGTTCCGTCTACAAAGCGCCACACTGGTGAAAATGCCATTATTGTGCTGAAGAACTCATTTTACTCTTCTGACTACAGTAGTACTCAGTTATAAAAAGTCTTCACCCAAAAATTAACATTCTGTCATTTACTCACCAAACCTGTATGACTTTATTTCAAAAAGATATTTTGAAGAATGTTGGGAACAACATTGGACCCCATTGACTTCCATTGTATGGATGAAAAGATACTGAGACATTTCTCAAAATTCCTTTCTCAGAAAAGTAAGGAAGTCATGCAGGTTTGGAATGAGGGCGATAAACGTTGACAATTTTCATTTTTATGTGCAAACATTATTTTGATTATTTTGAGCTCTGTTAACATAATAATGTTGATTTTTTTTATGCTACAAATTATTAACTCGGTGTAGTTTGTTGGTTGAACATAATTTCATTAGAAGTTGTCATGATTCAAAAGATTGATGAAAACCTTTGCATTACCTTTTCTTTAGCCAAAACATTGTTTAAAGGGATAGTTCACCCAAAAATGAAAATTACCCCATGCTTTACTCACCCTCAAGCCATCCTAGGTGTATATGACTTTCTTCTTTCAGACGAATCCAATCGGAGTTTTATTAAAAAATGTCCTGGCTCTTCCAAGCTTTAAATTATAATAGCAGTGAATGGGTGTTATTTTTCAATAGTCCAAAAGAAGTCCAATAAAGAGCAGATCGACGTAGCGTAAGGTCCGGTGAGAAGTGACGAATGCAGAAACACAGCGGAGAGAGCAAAACAAAACACTGGTCACGAATTAGAAGTACAAAATGAAGATTTGTAAAGAAAAATGTCTGAGGATTTTGATATAAGCCAAGAGAAGACTGGTTTTCCTTTGCTAAAGTAAGGAAACTTTGCTTCCTTTGCTCCTGTAAACAAACGTTAGTTCTCGAGAGACTAGCATATTCTCACCGGACCTTATGCTACGTCGTACGTCATCCGCCGGAACGGTGTTATTGTGAATGCGCGTACCACAGTTAGCGGAAGCTAGAGATTACTGTTTATAAAGTTTTAAATATGGATATTTTTATTACAAAAACACATCGCTTTGCTACAGGAGGCCTCTATTCACTCCCTGAAGCCATGTGAGGCACTTTTTATGATAGATGGATGCGCTTTATTGGACTTCTTTTGGACTATTGAAAAATAACACCCATTCACTGCCATTATAAAGCTTGGAAGAGCCAGGATATTTTTTAATATAACTCTGATTGGATTCGTCTGAAAGAAGAAAGTCATATACACATAGGATGGCTTGAGGGTGAGTAAATCATGGGGTAATTTTCATTTTTGAGTGAAATATCCCTTTAATGCGCAGCATCTAATGTTGTCGGTTGCCACAGAAAATCATATTGACTTGTTCCCCAGTGTTTGATCATTGCATTGGGTTTTTAGAAGTTTCTTGTAATTTCACTGGTTTAAGCGCAGTTTCACAAAGTTTTCTATCGAAACCGTGCATTTCAAAATGCTGTAGCGTAACTTTAACATGTTGCTCTATAACAAAATTTACAAAAGGGGAACTAAATCTCCTTCTGTCTTCCCATATGCATTTTCTGTAAATGAAGACGTTTGTCACAGTGCTACACCCATTTCACAGCTTTTCTAGCATGCAGCCTGTGCACAGCTGACTGTATAGTCAATCACCATCAACCTGTTTACCATTGTCGCCATACTCTGTGATGCACACACCATGCAAGATATTACACCATATAGCATGCTGTAATGTAGTTTATATGATAAAATCTTCTTCAACTTAAGCTATATGAAAAGTTTAAATCATTTAAACATGCTTTTGTGGTTTTTGCAACTCCTTAGTGTCTTTTCAGTGCTGAAATTCATATTTTGACTGTGTGAAAGAAAGTATGCTTCTCTTGCATGCTTTTATGGTAAAATTGCAACTTTTCCATGTCAATTTACTTTTATTTTCACCATAAACAATGCACTTTGCATTCAATGCTGTCTAGAGCATTGTCATGTGTTTGCTGCAGTTACTGTAGTTATTGCACTATATTCACAGTATTTATGTTATCAGGGATCAGATTAAGTTTATCCAGGCCCGGTTCTACGGGGGTGCTACGAAATCTTAAGCACCCTCAGTTAAAGCTATATTAATGGCATTTTATTGCAGATTTGGCAAACTATCCAGTGTGTAATGATTTGCGGTAATTTCTGTTTCAACGTGTTTTTGCAGCGTGGAGCAATGTAGCCAATCACAGACATTTTAAGTTAGAATGCACTCACACCGCTCAAATCGCCGGAGGTTTTTTTCAGGTATTGTGTTCAGCACGAATCATCTCATTATAACAATGTTGATGCAATCTAAATAAGAGATTCGTTGTGCAGTGTAGAGAACTTTAATGATAATAACGTATCTTTGTGAGATCGCGATGAACAAAGATGAGTGACAGCTTTTTTAGTGATTATGAACAGAGCGCTCTTTGCGCCATAGCAACGGACGCCACTATTATAGATCATTTATCCAATAATGAAGGTATATATTGTACAGTAGTAGATTTCTTTTTCATGTACAGTCACACTGTAGAAGCATCATGAACAATATGACACTCACCTAAGACGGTAATTTGAACTTGTGAGTGTGTAGCTGAGTAGCTATATTTCAATTCACCATTGGTTTCAAGTCTGAAGTAATATGACCCAACATGACTCTGATCAACATTATCGAAGCGCGTGGTGCAGTTTTTCTGTGTAGCAGTGCCAAATATTTCTCCTTTT